GTATAGGTAAAAGACTGATTTCCATATTGGCATACTGGACACTCAATACAATAAGCCTATTAGCAGGGCAAAAACAACTTGTTTGCAACATTTTGTAATTCATGATGAAACAGGCAACATGTCATCTTCCAAGCTGCTGCGGTATTGATCAGATAATAGCGGAAATATTAAAAAATAAATGTCCAAATAGCTAAATCTCAAACACCCATTGTACTTAGTAATTTGACTAATTGTTGTGAATGCCCAAACACTGACAGTGTTTCCCCTATATACATTCAGCAGTGGCGCTACGGGGCGCCAGCCAGGTACCAATAAAACAAATTTAAAAAAGATCAATTTAATTATTAAAAAAAATTGTATACATTAAAATAATAATACGTGGCGCTCGCGTCATCGCCACGGAGGAGCATACAGCCTCTGTGAGCGAGCGAGACAGAGCTCATCTGTATCTATTTAATATAGTTGTAAAAAATAAAGTAAGAAATCATTCCAATGTGTACTATAGGACAGTAAAACATTTTTGAAAAGGGAGTGATTAGTAAAATATGCATAAAGAAAAAGAAAAATGCTAACTAGGTAACATAAGATAAGAATAAACAAGTTTAATGATTTGTTATTGGTTGTGATCGTATTCTAAAGATGTTTGGGTTATTGAAAAGTATACAGCTCCCTTTCATCTGAGTGTTGAGAGCTGTATCCGTAAATTCATTTTGCTCTCAAAGTGCACCAGATTGATGCATTTCACTTCAACATTTAAAACAAAATCTTCCCAGGGGTGCATGCCCCCGGACCCCCCTAGAAGATGTGAGGTCCACCCCCAAATAAAGCAGGTTAAAAATAATTAAATTGCATACATTTTATTTTGATTGTTTGTTATGTGGATGTGTAGTATTTGTGATACTGTATGTTCAATAAAGGTGATTTAGCAAAATACACCTGTAGAGCCTCAAGAGCCTTTCTTGTGCTGGCAGACACATAGAAACATATTGGCGGGGCGCACTTCGCACAAAAAAAAAAGATTCCACTCGCTCCGCGCTCACATTTTGCTGGGCCCACGTACCTTAGCACCACTGCTATGACTCCATCCTAGGGGAAACACTGACTGATAAACAGCACACAATGCAGACGGTCCTGACGACCACAAACAAAACACAAGCTGGTCTATTTCCTGTGTTTCAGGTTCAACAGGAATTGTGTGTTTAGTCTATTAGTCTGAGACGTGACTACTGACTCACATCAAATCTAGTGTGGTTTCACACACCATAACAAAGAGGGCAAACAAGTGCAGTAATTACAACTGAAAAATCCACAAAAATAACCAGCAGGGCGAAACAACTTGAATATGTGGGTCATCAACGAGACATTCAAGTTTTGGCAGACACATATTTTAAATGCTCCCATAATGGGAAAAATGACTTATTTACATTTATGATTTTAAATCTAAACACAAATACTATTTCTTTGGATTAGTGGCTTTCAATGAGCATTGTGGGTACATGCCCAACACAAGCACAACAGTTAGAGCTCGCATTACAGAGCTGTTGTTAACATTGGATCGTATAGATGTCCATTGACTTGATTTGTTTTTTTAAATGTCGAAAATGTAAATGTTTTTAGTTCCAATATTTGAACGTCCTATATAGCCCAACCCAGAAATTAAAACCCAAATATGTCTTTTAATATTAAACAAGACCAATTATTGATAACGATATTCATATTTGAGAAACTGTTACCTGGCATTTTTGCATAAAAATACTTATTTTGACCAACGTATCCATTAATCATTTTGTTCAACCCAAAGTTTTTAAGTAAATTTATAAAAACTTCTTCTTTTTTTTTTTTTTTTAAATGTAGTCGCACTGTGTTTCTGCTTTTACTTCTTTATTATGAACATCAATAAGAAGAAAATTGCTTATTTGTATTAACCTGTAATGATCTTTTTAAAGTCACTGAGGCCTACATGGAGGCTAACGCAGGTGGCTGCTTGAGGGTACATCATGTGACAGTCTGTTGACCGAGTGTGATGTGCCTCCAGTTAATTCATGGTTCACTGGTGTGTGTGTGTGTGTGTGTGTGTGTGTGTGTGTGTGTGTGTGTGTGTTTTCTAAATTAAGCCTGATGTCCAGAGCACCTCTCTGAGTATTATACATGAGAGGAATGCTATCTATAATATCAGTAATTGTAAAAAATCTCAGTATACTTGAAAACATGTGCCTTTATTTCTATTAAATCTACCAATACACACACACTTGCGTTTTCTTACGAATGTTCTCATATTCTACCAGTTTTGTGTTACTTCCTGCTGAAAGCCAGTGTATCATTAAAGTTTAATTTCTAAAAAGGTCACTTCATAGTCCCCGTGAAAGGTCATAATGACTAACAAGAATGACACACACACACACACACACACACACACACACACACACACACACACACACACACACACACACACACACACACACACACACACACACACACACACACACACACACACACACACACACACACACACACACACACACACACACACACACACACACACACACACACACACACACACACACACACACACACACACACACACACACACACACACACACAGAAATGTCCATTTATAGAGTATTTATTATTAACTATAGGCGTTGAACCTTTGCTTATAAAAGTAAACGCCTCAACATCTTGTAATGAAGGGGCATATGTGTATCATAAAGAGCACGACTTAGAGAAACAGGTTTGTGTACAGTATACGCACACTGACTATGTTGGATGCCATCACCGTGGTAACTGATGCTAAGCAGCAAGTGAGAGGAACTTGAGATGTAAGCAGGGAGTCGAGTTAAGAGGGCGGGAAGAACAATCGGTAAAAAACTTTAGACAAACTTTGTCAATCAAAACATTTACCAGAAATTGATGAATATATATTTAATGCAGGAAATAGAAGCATTCACAACATGCTACCAGCTAGGAGAGACTTCACAAGGACACAGTTGAATATCAACCCTGTCGACTAAATACATTGTACAAGTAAAATACTCATCATACATGTACATGTTATACAGTTAGATAAGAAAAATAAGGCATCCAAAGTTATTCTCTGACATAGCTAATTCTTCCAAAATATGCTGCTGTAGAAGATAATAACCTGTAATAACAGCTCCTAGATGATTATTTCCTAGATTTAAACAAGGTGTTATATCTCTTTGGAGTGGATGCCCCCTTCACATGAAATATATGGTACTGGCTTTATGACTGGCTGTACAAAAAAGGGTCAAATTGGGCTGCAAGATGGAATGCATGTATGCAACTGTAATGATATTCAACTTAAATGGGTTGATTTTGAGCTACCATTTACATATTTACCAGCACCAGAGCCGGTTTGATGGCACAAAATGGGATATAAGTTTTACAATTTTACAAGAACTCTTGTGCTCTATTTGTGCACACCTTCTGAACTGGGAACACATCGAGCAGTTGCTCAAAGCTCTGCAATTTGCAGCAACACCCATTGAGTCATAATGTTTATGAAGGTTTAAAATGTGTCTTTTGAATATGCAACAAATAATAGAATTCCTGCATCTCAAGTCAACTAAGTGTCCTAGAACATGAACTCATAATAAATATGATTTTGTTGAGACGGCAAATCCTTTTTTCCTGACTACACTACTACTACTACTTTAAGGTCTTCTACGGAGCCCTGGAGGGTTCATAGAGAGAAAAATAAATAAAACGAAGCCACGTTTTATTCATTCGTGCGCACAAGATGTAATTCGTGGCCTCAATTTAAATAAAACGAGGCCACGTTTTATTCATTCGTGCACGAGAAATATACTTTTTCGTGAGCACGAGATACTTTTTTGTGAGCACGAGATACTTTCTCGTGCTTCCTACCGGTGCGCCAAGTAGGAAGAGGAGCGCACAGGAGACAACCGTTTCATTGCAGACTGTTATGTTTATGTGGGGAAATGGCAATGCATACATTATTTGAGATATATTTCAAACTCAGACTTCATTTTAGGGACATTCCGGCCAGAGGTGTAGAGCTATTTGTTTAAGCACTGGATTGGCAAAACAGGAGAGTCTGCGAACCAGTCTGCCTTGATCTAAGAATGAATGTCCGTGACTCTCACAGTATCTGCATCTGCACGCAGAGAGCTGTGTCTTTTATGCAGCGCCTTCACTGTGTTTACCTTCATTAGAACCGCTGAATTGAGATTGAGGCTGCTACGTTTTAGCCACACACACACACACACATCGAACTGCCCGATTATTCCCCCTATTACTCGTTTTATGAAGGAGATGTCCGGTCATCAGGGTGCATGATGTGTAAATAACCCAATTTGTGTTCTGTGAAACTGAAAAGGATATGACATTGTTTTTGTTACTTTCGTTGCAGTTGTATATGTCTTAAATATAATTTAGGTTAATTCCTGTTTTATTTAGATGCTTTTATTTTGAAGGCAAGTTTACGCTGTTGACAGGAAGTTGTTGTTGCTATGGAAACGTGAAATGCTACATGATGTGTGTGTGTTTGTGCTCTGCTCAGCTCAGTGGGGGTGTGTGTGTTCGGTGTACGTGTGTGTCCGACACCGGCATTTGTTTTCAAATGACCATGAACAGTAATTTACACACATCTGGCTAACTCCATATGTGTATTCCCAAGTGAAAGAAGATTGTTTAATCTTAATCTCGATGTAGGCTAGTGCTAAGTGCTGTCGGAGTGCACCGGAACGAACGCCACTATCATAATATCTTCTGAAAACAAATGCCCACACACACACATTCACACACGCCCTGGCGACCGGACATCTTCTTCATAAAACTAATAATATGGCGTAATAATCGGGCAGTTCGATGTGTCTAATCATAAGAAAGTATCTCGTGCGCACAAATTTATAAAACGTGGCCTCGTTGTATTTATTTTTCTCTCTATGAACCTTCCAGGGCTCCGTAGTCTTCAAAATCTTTTTTCGTATATATCTGCCCACCAGCAACAAGAGGAAAGTTGCCATAACCCTCAAACACAGCACCTATACACACCAACTATTCTCATAACTGTTTCAAGTTCATCTATCTGCCGAGCTTTGAGCAAACGTGGATTGTTTTTAACTCCCTGTGCAGCTCTGTGTGTGTGTGTGTGTGTGTGTGTGTGTGTGTGTGTGTGTGTGTGTGTGTGTGTGTGTGTGTGTGTGTGTACTGCAGTTTGTTGCCAAAGCCTCCCACCTTGCCAGCCAAGCTAAGAAGAGCCGCAGAGACGTTTCTTGGCCAAATGTCACACAGCGCTGCGCACCACAGCTACAACACGACGCAAAGACCATATACAGCGGTAGATAATACCAATCATATTTGGTATAAACAAATCACGCTGCCGACCAAGTTCATTGAGGTTTTACCGTCACGTCTTACAGTAGGATGCCAGAGCGGACACAGAAACACAATCGCTTATTCCTCACTGTGCTGAGTTATAGACACAGCAAGAGTGTCGACTGTCTGTAACCTTGAGATGAGAAGCCTGAGAAAAGGAAAAATATATCCCTGCGGGGGATGGCGTCAGTGTGTGTACGGCCTCTTGAGAGAGGGAGCGTGCACATTTGTGAAGGTGTGTGTGTTTCGAAAGAGGAAAAGCAGAAGGGTAAGAAGAGAGAAGTAAAACAGGGAAGTGTTTTTGATACTATACAAAAACAAGACAGAGGCTACATTTGATTTTTGACAAAGCCTCATTACCACTTCTCAGCCGAGTCACTTTTGTCAAAAACACAGCTTTAGTCTCTAGCAACAATGCTTTCCCTCACTCTGTAGGAACTGAACATGCTTTCTCCCTTTGTAATCCTTCCAACAATGTCTACTACAGGTTGAATATAATATATGGCAACTTGAGTAAGAATCACTCCTGAACCTGAGAGAATTTAAAACGTGTATGACCATGACATCAAGAGGGACTAACAGACAGCTGACCTTCTATTAAAATGCTCGATGCACATAGTAAAGACAGCCGTCTCATTGCACTGAACATCATTCTGACACTCTAGATAAGAGCAACAGCATAAAAGACCACATGTTTTCTTTCTTTTACCCTGTTGCAGGAAGGATACATTCACAAATGACTAATCCCCAAGGCTAGAATGTAAGTTATTGTTTGACCTGCTCCACAAAAAAGGTCAAACTCAGCTCTAATAATAATAATAATAATAGATGTAATTTGTTAGCGCTTTTACAAGTGCTCAAAGACGCTTAATACTGCTTGATAATACAGACCGAATGATCGCTAAAAAAAGGATGAACACAGCTGGAGCTGCTTTTTGTGTTTTACCCATCACGATCAATGCAAAAAGGAGGCAATGGTAAGACATCTGCCAAACAGGAAACGTTGTTAAGTAAGTGTATAACACTACTACTAAGTTAAGCCTCAAAACAACCTGTGGGAGTATCCTGACTAACCAAATACTGTGTCAAAAATAAACAGCACGGTTCTGTCACTCAAAGCAAATAATAATAATACTTTCATAGGTGGGAAGTAACTAAGTACAACATGTACTGTGTTTCAGTATAACTTGAACACAGTTGTTCTTTGCTTGAGTTTATCCATTGTATTTGATATATTTAAGCTACAGTCTGGAGGCAAATGCTGCACTCTTTACTCCCCTGCGTTTAGGTGGCAGCTTTGGTTACTTTGCACATTGAGATTATTTGTAATACAACACTAAAATCAACTGATGATTGACATATTGACCTATTTATTTGTATACATTGTATATGTTAGGGTTACTACACAGCAGAAGGTGATTAAGGTTATACTGCAGCTGGTAAAGGTGGAGTTTGTTTGTATTTGTGACACTTATAATCTAATAATAAACATAATTCTGAAACGGTTTATAGTGTATGATTGTTAATTTAACTTGTGGTACTTTAAATATACTTCAGTAAGATTACAAATACAGGTATAAGTATACCAAGGTGAGACCTTCTGCTGCCTCTGCCTGTCCTGGCCCACCACCACAGTATTTGATGTTGTGCACCCCGTACTCTAACTTGCATGACCACATGACAAGATGTCCACAAACCTTTCTTGAACTCCTCCAGCATGGAGTCCAGCTTGGTGTCGTGGAAGACGAAGTGCACCGGGTGGTTGTAAAACTTGGTGATGGTCTTCAGTGTGGTGCAGTCGTCCGGGTCCACAAAGGCCAGGTCCTTCACATACAGGATGTCCACGATGTTGGAGCGCTCGTGCTCGTACACAGGTATCCTCGTGTATCCGCTCTCCATGATCTCCGACATGGTGTTGAAGTCCAACACGGCGTCGCATTGCATCATGAAGCAGTTTCCGACAGCTGTCATGGCATCCTCCACGGTTTTAGTCCTGAGCTCCAGCGCACCCTGGATCATGTTGAGCTCCTCTTTCACCAGGTCGTTGTACGGCTCGGTGACCTTCAGCATCCCCACCAGCTTCTCCCGGTTGTACACGGTGCCGATCTCCTGGCCCAACACGCAGTCCAGGAGTTTGCTGATGGGCCACGACAGTGGGAAAGTTAGCAGCATGAACAACTTTGTGACCATGATGGTGTTCGCCCCGACTGCTAAACCGTGCCTGGAGCACAGCGACTGCGGGACGATCTCCCCGAAAATAACGATGCCGATGGTGGAGGCGACTACAGCGCCGATCCCGGACTTGGTGAGGTCGTCCAGGAGGATGGTGAGGGTGGTGTTGACCAGGACGTTTCCCAGGAGCAGCGAGCACAGTAAGTAGTTTCCCTTCCTGCGGATGGGCTCGATCTTCCGCGCGTACTTCTTCTCCTTCTCGGTGCCGCAGCTCTGCACGATGCGGAGCTCCATCGGGTCCAGCGCCATCAGCCCAAGGTTGAGCCCGCTGAACATGCCGGATAGCACCAGCAGGAAGGCTATGAGGATCACCTGCAGCCAGACAGGCAGCAAGGACTTCGCCACCTCCACCACCCGCAGCCTGGCGTCCTTATCGTCCAGCAGGTACCACGTCTCCTCCTTCTCCTGGGTGTCGCGGACACACAAGCCGAACACCTTTACCGCCTCACTCTTGCGGAGCTCCTTGATAAAGAGGCTGACCACCCCGGAGGTGTTCTGGTTGGTTACCACCATGGACCCCTTCACTTCTATATCCTTCGTGTGCTCCGGACAAGTCCTATTGAAGAGGTGCGTGATGGCGCCAAAATTATCATCCTCTTTATCGCTGGAGTAAAGTTCCATAAACTTGATGAGAGCAGAGCTGTTTGAGCGCAAGCGGAGCCCGTAGAACCTGAAGAGGGTGTCGCTGCCCTCGGTCACCTGAATAACCCCTCTTTCGGTGGTCCCGGCCGGCGTGTCGCTCCTCTCCAGCCTCATGCCAAGTATCCGGGGGCCGAGTCTTGTCTCCGCCGGCGCCTCCAGGGCTTGCCTGCCCGCAAAAACACAAGAAAACACGAATAAAGTTAGCGTAAACCCCCGACCACTCGACTCTATCGCCATGTTTGTTTCGCTCTATGCGAATAGGGGAAATGACGTCAGCTACTCGTTTCCACGAGCCCACCCCGCTCATCTGCATGCCAGCATACCCTGAAAATACGGCCAATCAGCGGGAGAGACGTCACTCAACCGAGCCCCCTATGTTTTCATTTTAAAGGTCGACTGATATTTCTTTGTTTTGCTTTTAAGGTGGATTAGTTTCAAGTTCTTTATTATCTTCTTCACAAGAATTAAAGTGACGCAGTCGTTGGCAATAAAAACCTCTATAGGCTTCCTTCAACAATACATGTAAAATCACCCAGAAAAACAGAACAATTAGAACCTAAAACATGAAATAGTGTCCATTCATATTTGGGACAACATTCAGAGTTTTAATATCATTCATTAACATTTTGAATTTCTGAATTAATTTAAACTTTTTAATAAAGGATCCATTGTGATAAAGATATGTGTGAAAAAAAGACTGATATACAGAAACAAATAAAGGTTATATTGGCTTGATTACAGTTTTTTTTAAATCAAAAAATATATTTTTTTGGTTTCTTTCTTTAAGACCTTTTGAACCAGAGGTATGACAGAGGAATCAGAAACGGGTCATTCTACAGAAAAGGTGGAATCTGGGTGATACAAATCTGCTGAAATATATTCCTTCTAAAAACATCTAAAACCTGTTAAATAGCAATAACTAACTCTTAACTTGATGAATCCACAACAAGTAGGCTAGACCTTAAAGTCTTTTTATTTTATTTTATTTTTTTTATACTTTATACAAAGCTTATTTGTATAGGAATGTCACTGGTGTTACGTGTTACCAGGAAGAAGAGTAACACCAGTGACGGTAACACCAGTGACAATTTGGAAAAAACACTACCATTTTAACAAAATGGCTGCAATGTGTCAGACCAAATATGGCTTCAGTCAATATCAAAATCGTTTAACTCTTCAATACAATACATTTTCCCATTCAAATGTTCACCCCTAGGGCTATGCAATGAGTAACATTAATGACAGACTTGAAAGACGCATGTAACATTTGAAGATAAAATGACACCTTTAACAAACAAAGTAAGAAGTATCTGACTTTCCTTATGTCTTTGTCCACTGCACTGTCTCAAATGATCTCTTGTTACAGGAGGCATTTCAGAGACGGTACATTATTTCAAAAATAAAAGCGTTTTGTGTAGCAGTAACACCAATTACGTAATTTTGGGTGACTGACATTTATTTGATATTATTAATAATAATTAGCGGGGTTTTTTTTTACACCATTTCAGTGTTATATTTAATGCTTGTAATGTTATGTAAACATTGGATGGATGGATGGATGGATGGCTCCACTTCCATGTATGATCAAAGTGACAAGGCAGTTCCTTGAACTTGGCATTTTAAATAAATTGCAATTTACGTATAAAACCATTTTTTATTTATTTTTTATTTAGTACCATTGCAAAGACAATCTCTATTTATTCAACATATATAATGAATGTGAGTATTAGGTCAACGTCATGTATTTTGGTGTCTGCAAAAGTAAGTGACCTTTTCTGTAGAATGACCCAAACAACTAAATCTATGTGTGCTGTCTTTTAATGAACATTGAATAACTTCCTGCTTCAACCTGTAGTTTAATCTTAAATATGGACAAAACTAAACTGGTACTAAAAAGAAAAACGGGACAAGTTGGAGGAATACAGAAACCCTGGATTATTGTATTAATGTGCCTTCAACGATAACAAACGATGTCCTCCCTTTTTCTTTTTCTAACATCAGCGTGTGTACATTTATTTACTGGGAACAGAGCTCCCCTTGGTGGTTATATCACACAGTGCAGCCTAATGAAAATGGCTAATAACATGACCTCCAGCATTAACGTTATGATCCTGTAAATAAATAATTAACGTGAATTTATTAGTGGCACATTTTTTAAATAACATATCAAATACTTTTTAGTCTTTAGGTTTAGGCAAAGTTAGCAAGTATTTCCAAGTTAAAAGGCTCAAGTCCAAGTCCTTTTTTATTTAGAGAAAACTGTTTTTTCAGGCCTTTTCAAAAAATAATAATGTAAGGTTGTTATACTACAGTTTTGTATTAACATAGAGCCAGCATACAAAAGTAGTTTTTAAATTATTCAATGATGGCTAAAAAACCTAAATGCAAAATACAATCTTTATTTCAGATTCCCAAAAAAAATAACAAATCCAGTCATTACAGTTTATTGGTTTATTCTATTTCATGGTATCACATTATATACATATGGTAGTCATCCCAATGAATCAAAAGGAAGGTTCTATATCAAAATGCATATTAAGACTCCGGTGACACAGTGTATCAATGTAAAAAGAATTATCTGCAACTAAGAATAATAATCATGTCTAATGTTTGTTTTGATTTGTGGCTGATGGGATTATTGTGTACTACCATGTTCATTAAACTGTGTTGATTGAATCATATGTTGTCATTCATGTTGTTTCTATTCCCCGGCTGTTTGCATACAAGCCACTGATAGTGGAAACTGTGAAGTCCACTGAGACAAATGTAACATTTGTGATATTGGGCTATATAAATAAACATTGATTGATTGATAGATAGTGATTGGAGATCATTACAAATACCTTCTTTCTGGCCTGAGGTAGATCTTGTAGATGTAAACGCTGCCAGGAAATTAGTTATTAAACCCAGGACAACATTTAAAAAATGTTTTCATATGGCTGAAAGTACCAAACACACCTTTATTATGAAAAAGGAGCTTCATTGGTCATCATTTAATGATCTAAATTGCAGGAACGTGCACTTTCAGGAGTTAAATTAAGGAAAGATTTTTCTGATACACCATTCCTTGGTTATCTTGCAGACTAAATAATGATCTGTACGTCATAAATTAAGACACTTCAACTTCATCTTCCCATCTTTATTAAGATCTATGAGAAAGTACACCATGAGTGGGAAATCTCTTGAGGTTTGTATGTTAAACTTGCATTTATATTATTATTGATTAGGTTTAAAAGGGCATGAATAACTTCATAGATTTTCAGTTAAACTTAGTTATCTGTTGTCACCGGCAATGTTTTTTCCAAGTAAGATAAACATGCAGAAATATATTGTCTTAACATTAATGACGCTCAAGACATTTAAGCTAGACAGTAACTTTGAGAAAACCTGGAATATGAAGATGAAACATAAGCAAGTTAAATCAAGTTATGTAGATGAATATATAGAGTAGTGGTGGAAGAAGTATCCAGATCCTTTACGTATGCAACAGTACCTGTGCAACAACGTAAAAACACCAGAAAAGTATTCCAATAAAATAAAGCCCTATTTGCCGAATCTCGCCTTTGGTAATTGTTATATTTTTATTTTGTAGGATCTGCAACCATTATCAATTATTAGAAAAATATTCACATAAGAATCCATTGTATCACAGTTGTCAACTATTTTATTGTTTGACAACTATTTCAGTAATTGTTTAATCAGTTTGAGTAATATTTTGAGAAAAATAAAATCAACATGATGCGATTCTGGCTTTTTTATTGTGAATACTTTCTTTACTTCTCTATGGCAATGAACTAAATATATTTCATGTCAAAATAAGAGATCATGTTGGGCTTTGAAAAACACTGATGGACATTTTTCTCCATATTATGTAATGTATAAAATGTCATTTTCGAGCCTGAGACCTGAAAAACAGGCTCAGGGCTTAACAGGTTAATAAATAAGTAAAGAGGCTCACCAGCCAAATTGTAAAACAAACTTAAGTAACTAAGAACAACTTTCTTCCAAAAGAAAGTGACTAAACAGTACAACACACACAAAGGTAAACTGGAGCACATCTCCTAACAATTCACCAAAAAACAGGTTACTATAGCACAGAGACAGAGACAGAGACAGAGACACCATGCTGCACACATGCAGCCAGAGGAGAAGGAGAGAGCGACTGCAGCCTTCCTCAGGTCCTTTATGGAGGCCCTGATTGGGGATTGGGAGCACCTAAGGGAGAGGGAGAGAGAGACACACACACACACACACACACACACACACACACACACACACACACACACACACACACACACACACACACACACACACACCACACACCCACACACACCCCAGCACCCATTACAGCACGTAACAGTATTATGTGAACAATATAATAATGGAAAGAAAAATTATAATCTTTTCAGTAGATTTGCACAATCTATGCCAGATGGTGGTTAAACATCTCACTAACACAAGGTATGTTCATTTTTTTGTAACTGACATATCTTTACTGTTCTGCTGCTGGGATGTTGAAGAATAATACCACTCTCATCAAACAACAACATATCCATCACACAGGACCAGGGGCCTCATGTATAACGCCGTGCGTAGGATTCACGTGAGAAATCCGAAAAATAGGTCCATAAATGTTCCGCCACTTCCCGATTCACCAAACATTGCGTACCGGCGAGGAAAGTGCGTACAGCACTTCCTACGCCGGTTTCCCTTTATAAATCACAACCGACTCGAAATGCGGTGCAGCTTTTGCGGGGTTCACGTAACGCCCATATTTGCCTATAAATAGTCAAAGAAACGCCCATTCATTCATTCATTTTGACTGACTTTATGAAGAAGATCGCAGGAAATGACGACAGAACAGCTAAAAAAGACATCTCACACCGTGTCAGATTCTGGTTATTTTGGGGAGGTCGAGATAAATCATATTGTTTGGTGGATGCAGTTTGAACCAGAGTAGCAGCATGGAGGTCGGATCGTCACCAAAATAAATAAATAAATGGCCCGAAAAGGGTTAATGACAAAAATAATACACATAGCCTTCCTCAGGCAGTGTGTTTGTACCGGGGACAGGAGACACCCCCTTGATGAGAAACTGTAAGAAGTGAACGGGGAATCCTCCGGAGTGGAGTCATGACGACTGGATCTGAATTATTTGTTTGTATTTGGTGGTTTGTGTCCCAGCTGTCGATCAGCTGTGCGCAGCCTCTCCACAGCAGCCTGTGCATCTCAACCCCCCCGCAGCAACCCTATATCCACCAGTTAAAGGAAATACAACTAATG